TTAGCCATATATTCATCAGATTTTTTGTGATAATCTTCAGATTTACCTAAATGGAATACTTTTGATTTGTCCGATTTTCGTAAGATTATATTAGTTAATTTTAATTTATATCTTAATCTTTTAACTAATCGGTTATAATTTTTCTTCTTTTTTGTAGTATTAATTAAAATCTTTTGAGATTGACTTGATTGTATGACAGATTCTAAATTTTCGTATGATATATTATTTATTTCTATATCTTTTTGATGTTGATCTATTTTTGGTATATTATGTAATCTTTGAAGCACATTATCTATTTCGGCAATAAATTGTTCGACTGGACGACCAGGCTTTACTTTCTTTTCAAAGAATCGAGTTTCTATTTTTCGCTTAAGAGCATTTAATTCAATTGTACGCCGTCGAGATGCCGTTTTTGGATCATTGTAGATAAACCGAGGACCTAGCTTTAATAATTGGTATTCTTCCTCGGTTAATGGAATATTTGCTTCATTGATTATGGCTGGAGCAAGAATTCCTTGCCCAGCGATCGAATTAAAGTCGGGGCAATTATTTCTTGTTGTTGTAGATCGTTTGTGTCGCCCTCGACTTGCTGTTCGGATAAAAAATGAATCGATTGTTCGGCTTCTAAATTCAATCGTTTTTCACGTAAATTATGGTAATGTTTGAATGCTGCATAACCAGGTTCAGCATCAAAACCATCGTCATTATCTTGAGGGAAGCCTTCAATAATACGTTTAATTTCATTGGATAATAATTCATTTTCTCGAGTTACTGATTGTACGTATAATGTTATTGCTTGTATTCGAAAATCTTTAGTAATTTGACGCATTTGATTATATGTAGCTTGTGCTTCTTCTTGATTTATAATTGATTCGTCAATTTTAAATGAAAAATCGACTTTTTCAATAAATTTTGGAGGTATATCATATTCAACACGTTTGGTTGCTATAAGATAATTTTTATTTTTAGTTGACCAAAGTTTTATTTTAGGTTTTAAAGTTAAATGAATATTCCATTGAGCTGGAGTAGCTATTTGTTCAAATTCTTCAAGAGCTTTAAATTCATCTAATTGTGCTTTGGCCAATTGAATTTTTGTTTCAGCCAATTTCTTTACATGTTGTGTATATGTATAATTATATTCTAAAATATAATTTTCTAATCGTTCTGTAGGTTCACGAATTTGATTTTTTAAACTTGTTGTTGTTGTTGTAGTTGTCGTTGGTGCTGTTGTTGGGCTAGTTACTGTTGTAGCTGCTGTTGTAGATTTTTTATTATTAATTTTATCATAGACAATATTTCCTATAATATCAGTTAATTTTTCTCCATTTACTTGTGTCCAATATGTAGTTAATTGGATTTGTAAATTGGAAATAGTAGCACTAGCTTCAGTAATATTTTGTGTTAGTCGATTAATTTTCTTTTGTACAAAACGAGTATTTATTATATTATCACGTTTTTTTGTACGTTGAACGACTTCTTTGGCCCAATGGTTTTGTTCTGTGCCCATTTTTAAATATGTTTGCCAGATTTGTAATTTGTAATTATCTCTGACCCATTTATCATAGATAGGTGCACTAGCTAATAGATAAGCTTGATTACCACGACTACTTAGCGGATTTTTTGTACCTTTTGTAAATTTATCTTCAAACCATTTTAACATTCGATTTGGTTCGAGATAGAGTTGTGTCTTTTTTGATTTTTTATTATTATTATTATTAGTTGATTCTTCATTGATTATTTCAATTTCATCTGGATCAATATCTTGTGTATTAGCTAAAGCAGCAAATCGATTATTATTAACATCTCTATTTTGACGATATTGTCCTTGTCGATTTCGACGTTGGCGACGTCTAAATGATGCTGTTGTAGTTATTTGTCGATTTTGCTGTTGTTGTTGCCAATTTTGATTATTTTGATTTACTACAAATGGTTGTGTTGTATTATTATTATTATTTGTTGTAGTTGCAAAAATTTCACGTTGTGGTAATGCATCTGGTGGCACATTTAAGTTAAATTCTGGTGGAAGATTTTCAAGACTAGGTAAACGTTCACGTAATTCTATTGGCATAAAATCATTTAATTTTAATTGTCGTGGACGACGTTGACGTTGTTGTCTTGATTGACTTCTTCTTTGTTGTTGTTGTTGAATTGAACGACTTCTTCTTCTTTGATCTGTACGACTATTTGGTTGTCGAAAAAATCTTTCTTGTTGAAATTGTGGTTGATTTATAATGCCATAACCACTATAATAGCGTTGTGGTTGATAATTTCGATTATAAAAGACATTTCGACGATTTGTATTTTGATAATTTTGATAATTACGAAAGTTTTCATAATTACGAAAGTTGATAGGATAATAACTATTGTTACCCCTGTAATTATATTGATAGTTCCTATAATTACCCCTAAAGGTAGACTGATTGCCCCCAGAGTTAGGCTGATTGCCCCCAAAGGTATTTTCCTGAAAGGTAGGCCGATTGCCACCAAAGGCGCACTGATTGCCCCCAAAGGTAGGCTGATTGCCCCCAAAAACACCACCACGTCGACGTTGATTCATATATCTTGGTGGTGGTGCAGTTGTTTGTTGTATGGGTATTTGATTATTACTATAAGTGATGAATGACATGATTTGTTAAATAAGTTGAGAGATAAATGGATCAGATTAGAATGCTACTATTCAAATAATTTGACGCCTGATATAATTGAGTGTACGTAAATCAATGAAAAACAGATCGACTTATATTTCTCAAAATACAAATCAATCTGCTATTCTCAACTCTTGCTTTTCAGCAATCGATGAAGTCGTAATTATTTGTTCAAATTGCAAATGATATGCTTAATCAAATTATAAAAGTAAATGCAGAGTTTAATTTCGCCGACGCGTTTCGTATCTTTAAAAGATAGTACTCTTCAGGGCTTCGAATTGAGATATATATGTAAATATCTAGAATAGTAAATAAATCGTAAATATTAACTTATATGAAAGTAGATGAAAGCTGTTCAAGTACGAGCAACCATGACCGGTTTCGACTTCGCTGACGACGAAATGTCAGCAGATAGCTGAAAATTTCATCAATAAAATTGAGAAAACTGCTCTGCTATTACCGAAAAGTAATAGTGTCAGTATACTCAAACAAAATGTTCGATCAGAAGTAATCGCCGTTTCACGACAACAGTTGTTTCTGTCCGGGCGGGACTTCATCAGGTGGTAGCTTAATATTATACCTGTATAAGAATATAATTCTGTTTAATAATAACATAGGAATTATATTATGATAGATACAATAATTAATATATAGACATTTGTACAATGAAAATTTTAAGTAAAATTAACTCAATAATTTTTAAAATAAAGAATTGAAATTCAGAGCATCACACGATCCGGATTTCGACCTTGCTTAAGGGTCCTCGTCACGTATGTTAAGAATTTCATAAGAACTACATACAAGTCATAACTCATCCAAAAAGTTGAAGAAGTTGTGTCTTAGACATAGTTAAAAGAAAGAAAGATATAACTCAATAATTTTGAAAAATAAAGAATTGAAATTCAGAGCATCACACGATCCGGATTTCCATCTTGCTTAAGGATCTATCATCAGGTATGTTTACAATCTTTTATTACATAAGAAT